CGACAAGCTCAGCCACGCCCCCAACATCAGCAACGTGGCGGCGTCACCTCGGGTGAGCCAGCTTTGGGGGGCGGAGTTCCCCCGGGGCCCGATTCAGCCACGGCAGAAATCGGGCCTCCATAGCGGGGGTTTCCCCGCCCCCCGCCCCCATTTGGCAACCCTAAGCCCTGTGTAGCTTCCCAGATCAGACAAGACCAGCCTAGCCTGGCCATGCTGGTCCACTGCCTAGCCCAGAAACACATCTCATGTTTCCTGCCCTGCTACGTTGGCCTGGAGTGGTCATAGGGTTCCTAACCTCTAGGTAGCTGCACAGGGCCAGCTCACTCATTAGGCGGACTAGGCGATCGCCTAGAGCAGGCCGGCCCTTAGGGGCACCAAACTGCACCCGGCCCCATACTCTGGGAGTTTCTTGATTATTTGTGTTTTTCATTCTTGCTAAAATGCATTTATTTTTGAAAAAGGGGGGGGTGGGGGGGGGGGGGGGGCGCCAGAAGGGATCCCTGCCTAGGGTGCAAAATAAGCTGGGGCCGGCCCTGGTCCTGCAGTTCTCCCAGAATTACAACTGATCTTCAGACCACAAAGCCACAGGAAAACTACAGAGGCCTGTCCTCCTATAGAACACACACCTGAGTGCAGTTTGCCAGCTTGGCACTGGTTTCTGTGTCTTATGCTTTTTGCTGTTAGGCTTTAGTCTGGTTTTACCATGTGCGTTTTTTTCCTTCTCGTCAAAGATCTGTGCTGATTGATTATAAAATTGTGCATCCCTCTGAGCATCTGCTTAGGTGGAAAGGCAGCCAAAATGCTAAAACGGGTAAAATTAAGGGGGTACCCCTTTTGAAACCCCTACATTTCGTTACCACTGTCTCTCCCCCTCCCAGCCTGGCGCCACAGCTTCGAACACGGCGTCCTCTTACTTACCGTATCGCCCCCTGAAGCAAAGGAGATGGATTGCATGTGGTGATTCGCGATGATCTGTGATGGGAACAGACAAGGGTGGGGGTTGAAAGAGCTTTGTGACTCAAAGGTCAGCAGGAGGGGTGAGCAATTCTTCGATGGGGAGGGGACAATAAAGCCCTGATGGGGGCTGGAATTGGTCCTGGGGGCCTTTGGGGACGTGGCTTTCCCTGGGAACACTTGTGCTGCTCAGGCATGGGGGGGGCCCAGCAGAGTTCCAGTCGAGCCACCCTGAGCCTTTCCCGAGGATGCTTCGATAGATCTCTGGGCGCACATGGCGCAAAGGTGTGGGGAAACAACAGCTCACCCCACAGGCAACTTGGGGGTAAAAATCACACCTTTCAAAAATTAAATTTGCACTCTGCACAGGCCCCAAAGCACTGCTTTCACCCCGAAAACTGAATTGGCTACACTTTAGTCAGGGTTCGGAAGACTATAAACAAATGATGCTGCCGATTTTGCTACAGGACCAAATCCATCCAGGATGCCTCTTGAGACATGACAAGACAATGGCCACTTCTCCGCAGGGCCAGGGTACAGGCCTGGGGGAGACGCCATGCGCAATCGGAAGATTTATCCACCCAAACACACCCACAGTGGGTCTACGTGTCTCTGGGGTGCGGGGGACGCGTTTCAAATGTTTCCTCCCTGCAGTCTTGAGCCCTAAATCCTTGTTTCAGTTTTGCTTCCCCCTCCGGAAAACTGAACTTGGGGTTCTTTAATTCTGTGCCATTCTCTCCACTGAATTTTTCCCCCTGCAATCATTTTCCAACATGGTTTGTGCATCCGTATATCAACATTGTGTATACACATTTATTTTATCTATATATATAGAAGACGGACTATCGATAATGTCATGTGTGTGTTTGTGTGTGTGTGTGTGTGTGTGTGTGTGTGTGTACATGATGTTATCAATAGTCTGTCTTTCTCCCTTTCTCATTGGGAATTCCAGGCAGATTACACAGAGGAAGTCAATACAGTCTATAGGATGGGATCAAGAAGCAATGCAATAAGCTATTGTAGAAGTTTGGAACCAATCAAAATTCCAAAAGACAGAACTGAAGTAAAGCTATTCACATGACACATTTCATGATACAAGAATTACAAAGAGGGGGGAGGGGCCGTGGCCCAGTGGAAAAGCCTCTGCTTTGTGTGCTGAAGGTCCCAGGCTCAATCCCCAGCATCGCCAGCTGAAAGGGCCAGATGATGTGAAAGACCTTTGTCTGCCTGAGACCCTGGAGAGCAGCTGCCAGTCTGAGTAGACATGACTGACATTGGTAGACCAATGGTCTGATTCAGTATAAGGCAGCTTCGTGGGTATCTCTCCTTATATATAATTGAATAGTGGGTGCCAAAGTTCTAATTCTAAAATGCACTCCCTTAGTGTATGGCTGATGGCACTGCTTCTCAGCATATATCGCCACCAATCAGAAGGCAAAGCCCGGGTCCCGCCCACACCACAACTGCTGCGACAACCTGGTCTTTTGCATATGGAAGCTGATTGGACTTCACTCCATTCCACACCTCAAACTCCCCCCCCCCAGGCAGTTGGAATGTCAGTTGCATATGGAATCTGCTGTATTCTGGTGGTGTGCAGGTCCAAGATTCATGTTTTAAAAGCAGACTGACACTGTTTGCCCAAAGCCAGAGCACTCTCCCAGAGCCTCTTTCTAGATCTCGTTGTATTTATTTCCACAACGGGCCTTATTTCTAGTATACCTATAAAGGTAAAGGTTCCCTTGCTCGGAAGCCAGTCGAGTCCGACTCTACGGTTGCGGTGCTCATCTCCGTTTCAAAGTCGAAGAGCCAGCGCTGTCCGAAGACGTTTCCGTGGTCATGTGGCCGGCATGACTAAACACCAAGGCGCACGGAATGCTGTTACCTTCCCACCGAAGTGGTACCTATTTATCTACTTGCAATTTCTTGCTTTCGAACTGCTAGGTTGGCAGGAGCTGGAACTAGAGACGGGAGCTCACTCCGTCATGCGGCGCACTCGGGTCTCGAACTGCTGAACTACCGACCTTCCACAGCCGGCAGTTCAGCGTCTTAACCACTTGAGCCACCGCAGCTCCCTAACCTATACTGGACATCTAAATGTGACTTGCATGCAAAAACTGTATGACACACACAGTCAGTACAAACTTGTCTTCAGAACAGTGAGAAACAGAACAGAAACGGCTGATGGAAATAAAAATGAACATTTTAAATGATGAAATAGGGAATATTTGCTACCCTAAAACAACCAGTTTTATAGAAAAATGGTATCCTTTCAATGATTACACCACAACACGTGACATTTTACTTCAAAACAGACACTGTAGGGATTTAGTTCTACTCTGAACTAGATTATTATGCACACTCTGTTTTTCCTATCAACCCTCTTATTGATGTGAAACCAAGTGCAGTAAACTATTTTTTCTACATTTGCACCTGGACACTATGTTATGATTTTAACGATATGTTCAACTATTTAAGCTATTAGAAATATTAATTGCGCTATTTTCGACAAGCTTGCATTTGTTTATATGTACTGCAACAACAGCATATTTTACTGTTTTGCTAAACACTGGGAATTCAATAAAAGTGATTTAAAAAGCCAACACCCCGCCCCCAAGTCACCCTATCTGGAGGAACGTGCCTTACCTGGCGGGTTGTGGGGATCATGAGGTTCAGTCCGTCAATGGAAATATTCACAATGATGCTGATGCCAGCAAAGCGGAGGTTGGTCTTGCCAAGAATGGAGAAGAGCGCCTTGTTAGGAGCCTGGGAAGGGAACGGGAGCAGAGGGGTCAATCCAGCCATCTTTGGGAAATCCCCAAAAGAGCTGTATGCAAAAAAAAACCTGTCATTGAAAAAAAAAACCTCATTTTTATGCATTTGTTTCAATTATTACTGTTTTCCATTGGTTACAATAGAAAAACACATTTCTGGCACTTCAGTTTTCCGTTGACTAGGACTGTGTGCCTCACCCAAGGGAACCCAGCCGTCAAACTTCCCTGCTAATTCAAATTCAAATTCTGCACAAGAAGGCCCGAATTCTCTCACCACGTATCCTTCCATTTGCTTTGTGCAACAGTCTCTGGGGTGGGGGTGGGGTGAGAAAGACCAGACTCACCTTCTTCTTCCAAGTTCCCTTGACCCCTGGAACGGCCTCATAGAGCCTATTGATGGCTTCCCTGCAAGAAAAGTATCATTGCCAGACTGTCATCAAAGGAAAACAGTCTCCATTGAACACCACCACCACCACCCAACAAGATGTTGGAGCATCTGTAAGAAGCGCTGGGGGTCATTTGGAGGTATGGGTGCCAACTCTGAATTGGAAAATTCCTGGAGATTTGGGGGGGGGCAGCCTAGGAATTGTGAGGTTTGGGAAGGGGAAAGACCTTAGCAGAGTTCACCCTCCAAAGCAGCCAATTTTTTCCCATTGGAACTGATCTCAGTCATCTGGAGATCAGCTCTAACTCAGAGATATCTCCAGGCTCCATCTGGAGGTTGGCGGTCCTATGATTTGCAGTTCAGGGGAGACAGTGTGGAGAAGGTAAAACCAATCTCCTCCCTAATGCACCCCTTATCCAAGCTGCCCTCCCACACTGTCCTTTAGCAACACACTGGCCCGTATCACTGAAATTCCTACTGAACAAAGTTAAGCCTTTTTGGTTGTTTTTTCTATATTTTATTTGCATTGAGCTTGTGCGGGCGTTGCCTGCTCTTGGAGCATAATTAATGAAATGAAAAAGACACAGGAGAAAAGAGCAGGGAGTCTCCAGTCTGGGTGACCTCAAGGGTAGAGGAAGCATGGAAGGGATCCAATTGATCCCCACAGAGGTCATTTCGGGGGGGAACGCGGGGGAATGCAGTTCCCCCAGGTGAGGTGCAGGGGGGCGGGGCACATGACGAAGCCCCGCCCCCTGCTTCCGGCCGCCCCGCTTCCAGCCCTCATTCAGCCAGGAGGAGGCAGGAGAAGAGGGAGGGTAAGTTGCTTCCTCCCCACCTCTCCCCAGCCCTGCCTGCCTGGGGCCAGGGAGGGCCTTGGCGGGGCTTCCTCGCACTCCTGCTGGCCTTGCAGGTCCACCGCAGGGCCCCTGATGTCAGGGGGTGTGGCATATGCTAATGAGTTATGCTAATGAGTTCCCCTAGCTCTTTTTCTACGAAATGGCCCCTGGATCCCCAAAGCCGGCCCTGCCACAAAGTGGAGGACTCAGACGCGTCTTGCCTTGTTGGCCAGGATCCCTCGACTGGAAATGAGGTGACCCAGGCACGATTTACATTTCTAGGATGAGAGGCAACAGTCTGCAGCTGTAGATCTTGGGGGTGGGGGCTGACTCGAGCTTAGGGTTGCCAGCCTCCAGGTGGGGCCTGGAGTTCTCCCAGAATTACAAGTAATCTCTACACTTACAGTAGGGTTGCCAACTCTGGGTTGTGAAATTCCTGGTGAATTGGGGGGGTGGGGTGGGGTGGGGAGAGGAGGGGCTTCAACTGGGGTATAAATGCCACCCTCCAAAGCAGACATTTTCTCCAGGGGGAACTGACCTCTGTAGTCTGAAGATCAGCTACAATTTCAGGAGACCACCAGGCCTTGCCTGTACCCTATGCTACAGAGACCAATTCCCTTGGTGTAGTGCAGACTCTAATTTGGGAGAACTGGGTTTCATTCCCCACTCCTCCACTTGCACCTGCTGGATGACCTTGGGCAAGCCATAGTTCTGTCAGAGCTGTTGTTGAAAAAAAAGCGGTTTCTGTCAGAGCTCTCTCAGCCCCACCTACCTCACAGGGTGTCCTCCTCCTCTCCTCCTCCTCCTCCTCCTTCTTGGAGGTAATGGTGGTTTTGGTGGGTGGACTTTATGGCATTAAACCCCATGGAGGTCCCTCCCCTCCCCAAGCCCTGCCTTCCTCAGGATCCACTCTTAAATCTCCAGGAATTTCCCAACCTGGAATCGGCAACCCTAGCTTCCACATTCAGGCCGGTTGTGGGAGAGCTCTGCCTGCCTCTCCCTTCATCTGCACATAACTTCACAGCTGCCTGGTGCATTTGACTCCAGGGTCATCGGGGTCAGGGGGTGGAGGGCCAGAGAGGCGCATGAATTATGCAGGGCTCTTCAGGTTCCCGGGGAGGGGGGGGGAGGCCTCTCTCGTCTCCGGTTACTCAGGATCGATCCGCTTTGTGCCTTGGTGAAGGAAGGGCTGCCCCATTGTCGGGGCTTCTCTCGCGTTCCAAGCCTTGCAGGGAAGCTAGCCTCTTTGGAAAATGCTCTTCAGCACCGCCACCTTTGCCTTTCCCAGCTGGCCCAAGGAGCTCTTTGGTGGAATCTCGGCAGGGTGGGTGGCTGCCAAACAGGCACAAAGGCGGGCCTACAACTGAGAGTCAGAGGTGGGAGTGGAGGGGGCGGTGAACTCCCCACTCTCCCACTTTCCTCTTGCAAGCTGGGAAAAACCCCTGGAGATTGGGGACTGGAGGGAGGGGTTTGAGGAAGGGAGGGGCCTCAGCAGGGTCCATCAAAGCGGCCATTTTCTACAGGGGAACTGATCTCTGCAGTCTGGACGTCAGCTGTCATTCCAGGAGATCCAGGCCTGGTCTGGAGGGTGGCTGGCAATTCTACCTCCTGCGGCTGGCTCCCGTCCGCCGTTTCTCGGCTCTGCAGCCTGCTGTGGCCCTTCCACTTCCCCTGCTGTGCTCACCCTTTGCACCTGTCCAGTCGCCTCACCTATTCCACACCTCCAATCATAGGAGAGGTGGATACAAACCCCACCCTCAGTGGACTCTTCTGATTTTTCTGTCAAGTTACTGGGTTCGGTTCAGACCCACTTTAGCTCGTTCTCCTATTAAACCTGTGCTTTAAAGCATCACAGAACATTTAAATCTGTTATTTTATGTACCTGCATCTTATGCCTGTCATGGTATCTCCAGCTTAGCTTGCTGGCAAAGGGGCAGAGAGCTCAGCCATTCGGCTTGCGAGGCCTTAGATCTGAGTCACCATCTTGCAACCCAAACAGCACAAAGTCTGTCCTTCAATATGCGGGATGAGCTCTCTGCTTTTTAATTCAGCTGCTTAGGTTCTGCAAAACGTATGTTAGAAATCCTGCAGAGGAGCCAGGAAGAAGTGTGGATGCCCATGAAAGTTTATCCTCAGTATAAAACTTTGCTGGTCTTAAAGGTGCCCCTGGACTCAAACCCAGTTTAATGTGAACGTTTTTGGCAATATTGGGAGTATTGGGGGGGGGGGATCCTCTTTTCTTTTTTACATTCCTTGTAAAGAAACATGACCTATTCATTTCTTGAGCCTTTTCTTGTTCTTCTTCTCTGTTCTTATTCCCTTTTATTCAGTGACATCACAATGCACCCAAATCTGACAGTATTTTGATGTCAACCTGTTCACTCTGTGGTCCTCTGCTGGCTGGAATCAGTCACGCAACAGATTCACAAAGCACTGTCTTCACTCTCCATTGCCCTTGGTGCTCATTGCACTGGCAAACCTGATTGGCTACCCAGCACTGTGGCAGCCTCCAGAGGTCATTGCGTGATGCCTGATTGGTGGGTTCTCTCATGTGACTAATCCAAGAAGCAGGCTCTTGCATCTCTGTCGCCCTCCTTCCACACCTGATCTGAGCTCTCGTTCAGTGGCTGAGATTAAAAAAACTGCTGAGGAATGGCAAATGGCACGTGTGCAGTCACACCGGACCACCCTGACCTCAACAGGTCCTGGCAGCAGGTACATGGTTCATTGCTCCATAGGCAGGCCCATAGCCAGGATTTGTCCGGGGGCATTTAAATTAAAGTCAATTAAATTAACCTGTCTTTTCCCAGGTCCCATAAAGCACCCCCCCCAATTCCACAGTGGGAGGGAGAGGGAAGCCGGAGGGCAAGCCATGGCGTGGGTGCCACTGCTCAAAAATAAGGTTTCTGTCATGGCTATTTGTGGGGCGGGGCTTTTAATTAAGGGGTCAGTGCCCCGAAGTGCCCCACTGTAGCTACGAGCCCGTCTATAGGTGAATTCTGGTAACTGGGAAAGGTAGGGTCAAGAAAAAGCGAGATCAGCAAGCGAGTCCTTACTTGGTGACTTGTGTCCGAGTGTTGAAATCCAAAGACCTCATTGAGCGCAGGATCTCAATGCATCCCATGTACTGAAAGAGGAAAGCGAGGAAAAACAGGTGAATGATCCAAGCCATACCTTAAGGGCCACCTGCTGCCCTGGATACTCCCCTGTGCCCTTCTGAAGAAACCCAGCTTGAATTGCACACACAGTCTCACACATGCACACACAATCACAGAGTGCTTACTAGGGCTGTGCATTCAGCTAAATCCAAGCCGGAAAATATCCAAAAACTACCTTATCAGTATTTTCTAGATATTCTTTCAGCCAGATATAGATTGGGACTGAATTTCAGCTATCCAAAATGGCCAAGCCTGAAAAATCCAGAAAATATTTGGGATTTTTCAGGACCACTGGATAGTCAAAGTTAAAGGCATTGCAGTCCTTTTAAATGCCTTCTGGGTGAACTCGCCACTTGGAGAAGGAGTTTAAAGAGACAGCAAGCCCTTTGAATGCCTTCAGAGTTCAGTCATGGAGACCTTTGGCGGCTTGGAGAACCGTAATCTCTTTAAAGGATCGTAATCTCTTTAAACGCCTCCCCCCCTCATTGAAACCAATGGAAGATGGGGGCACCTTTGGGGGCCCACAGAATTGTACCCCCCGGTCCAATTTTTTAAAAAACTTGGGGGAATTTGAGGAGAGGCAGCAGCCTCTCAAAAAAGGTAAAGGTAAAGGTAAAGGTTCCCTTGCTCGAAAGCCAGTCGAATCCGACTCTAGGGTTGCGGTGCTCATCTCCGTTACAAAGCCGAAGAGCCAGCGCTGTCCGAAGACGTTTCCGTGGTCATGTGGCCGGCATGACTAAACACAAAGGCGCACGGAACGCTGTTACCTTCCCACCAAAGTGGTCCCTATTTATCTACTTGCAATTTCTTGCTTTCGAACTGCTAGGTTGACAGGAGCTGGAACTAGAGACAGGAGCTCACCCTGTCTTGCGGCACCCGGGTCTTGAACCACTGAACTACTGACCTTCCACAGCCTGCAGTTCAGCGTCTTAACCACTTGAGCCACCGCAGCTCCATCTCTCAAAAAAACAGCCCCCTAAAATGGTCACAATAGGGTATAATGGAGCTGAAAAAAATCAGAATTTCCAGATATTTACCGAATCAAAATACCACACCAGTATTGGGACTCAGGAATAGAGGAGGAGGAGGGAAAAGGAGGAAGAGGAGGAGGAGGAAGAGGAGGAGAAGATGGTGACTGGATTTATAACCCGCCCTTCACTCGGAGTCTCAGAGCAGCTTACAAACTCCTGTGTGGTAGAGGTGGGGCTGAGAGAGCTCTTTCGAGAACTGCTCTTTCAAGAACAGCTCTGACAGAACTATGGCTTGCCCAAGGTCATCCAGCAGCTGCATGTGGAGGAGTGGGGAATCAAACCCAGTTCTCCCAGATTAGAGTCTGCGCATGTAACCATGACACCAAACTGGCTCTCTATTGGGAAATACCAATATTTGGGGGGTTCAATATAATCAAACTCAAAAACTACCGGGGTGGGTGGATTGTACACCCCTAGTGGTTACAAAACAGCTGCCTCACCAATTCCTCCAAGGCTCCTGGCAAGCCTCTTCCCAATCACGCTTCAGGAAGTTCAAGGCAGGGTGTTCCTGCTTAATTTGCCATGGGAGAATTTTTACACAGATGGGAGTTGTGCTTTGTCTTCTTTTTTTTTTTAAAGCTGAGTGCTGCTGTTTGAATATTTGAATTGCATACATGGCTGGATTTTTTTAATTGCACTTCTATGATCCTGTCAAACATATTTGAAAGCCCCGCTGGGCTGCAAAGCAGGATATAATTCTGCACAATTAAAACATAAATAGGCCTTCAGGGTCAGGATTGGTTGCTTGGAGGGTGGGAAGGAAGAAGAGAGGGAGTCAACTGAATGTAGAGGCAAGCAAGGGGGGTCACGCTTGTGTGAGCGGAGCCACCAGTGCTTGAGCTGATCAGACTGAACAGCCGGCCCAGCTTTATAGTGCCAAACTGGGACACCAACTGGCAGCAGCTGCTGCTGCTGCTTCTTCCCAGAAGGCCAAAGATGAAACCCAAACCTCGTTCCACCCAGCACCATTTTATCTGTTCAACTCTACCTGGCATTCTAAGACGCCCTGAAGATCGTGCCCTGAAAAATCACTGCCCATTTGTTTTTGTTTGTTTGTTTTTAACAGCTGCCTAAAATAGAGTTCTGGAGAACTTGAAAGTTTGCACACTATTTTGTGTTATTTTAGCTGACCTTAAGCCAGTTTGGTGTAGTGGTTAAGTGCGCGGGCTCTAATCTGGGAGAACCGGGTTTGATTCCCCACTCCTCCACTTGCACCTGCTGATGTGACCTTGGGTCAGTCACAAGCTCTGGCACAGCTGTTCCTGAAAGAGCAGTTTGTGCCAGAGTTCTCTCAGCCCCACCCACCTCACAGGGTGCCTGTTGTGGGGAGGGGAAGGGAAAGGAGTTTGTAAGCCGCTCTGAGACTCCAAGTGAAGGGCGGGGTATAAATCCAATCTCTTCTTCTTCTTAATACAAGGGTCCCCCTTTTTTGAGCCTGCGGGCACTGTAGCGGGCACAGATACAAAACGCAGGAGGCGGAGCCAGCCACAAAAGGGCAGGGAATGAGGTTATGCATAACCCTGACAGTAACTCTGCAACTTTTCAGGGAGGGTTTAATACCTTACTGCCAATCAGCTGTCCAGCGGCCTGCTAGGCAAAACCCTGCCTGGCCCCACCCACTTTCTAGAAACATTCGATGAGCACCAGGAAAAGTGTCAGCAGGCACCACGGTATATGCGGGCACCACCCTGGCGGCCCCATCCTCATAAAAAGGAATTGCTTTGCTTGTGAAGCCTTGGCACCTCATGTCTTCTGAGTCATGGGCAGTGTTCCCTCTAAGCTGAGTTAGTGTGAGCTAGCTCACAGTTTTTTAGTCTCTGGCTCACACATTTTTGTCTTAGCTCAGGAAGGATGGCTCCAAAGCAAACTATGCAGTTAGCCCAATCGCTCGCTCACAAATTTACTGCCAGGAGCTCACCAAGTAGCATTTTTGCTCACAAGACTCCACAGCTTAGAGGGAACATTGGTCATGGGAGGTGCTTTCCCAACCTCAGGCGATTTGCAGTGGTGGCGCCAAGGAGTTGGCATGTGGGATGTCACGGCTAACCGGAGTTTGATCAAACCACAGTTTATTGTGTTGTCTGAATGCCATCTCGGATAGAATCCTCTCCCTAACCAGCTATGGGGGGGGGGGTTTCAGTGTTTCCTCTAAGCCTAGTTAGTGTGAGCTAGCTCAGTTTTTTGGCCTCCGGCTCACACCTTTTTGTCTCGGCTCAGGAAGGAGGGCTCCAGAGCGAACTAATCTATCCAGTCGCCAAATCGCTCGCTCACAACTGTAATGCCAGTAGCTCACAAAGTAGACTTTTTGCTCACAAGACTCCATGGCTTAGAGGGAGCATTGGGTGGGCTATGTGGTGAGGGAAGCGCTGTCAAGTCACAGGTGACTTACAGTGACCCCACAGGGTTTCTAGGTGTCCGGGGTCAGAGGCATCCACCTGGGTATCCCTGTGCCGGCCCAGGGAGGGGCACAGCCAGCCAGCCACCGTGGCAGGAGAAGACACCAGGGATTGCCCTGCTGATGTCCACCTCACCCCACAGCCCACAGCCACAGTGCTAGCAACCAGTGTTCCCTCTAAGCTGAGTTAGTGTGAGCTAGCTCATCGTTTTTTAGCCTCCAGCTCACACATTTCTGTCTTAGCTCAGGAAGGATGGCTCCAGAGCAAACTGATCTATGCAGAAACCAACTCGCTCGCTCACAGCTTTAATGCCAGTAGTTCGCAAAGTAGAATTTTTGCTCACAAGACTCCACAGCTTAGAGGGAACATTGCGCAACCAGGGCGCCTCCTACAGTACCTCCGGGGTGGGCTGTGGGCACGCAATCAGCTGTGGTGGGGAAGCCAGTGGCAGCAGGACTACCACCCGGCGCAGCTCCAGGAGCACCCAGGGAGACAGGCATGCCTTCTTCCCTGGCCGGGAACAGGAGGGCAGCCAAGACCCAACTGGCACTGGCAGCAGCCAGTCTGCCGAGGCCAGATCCTCCAGCCAGGCAGACAGAAGTTCCCCCACCCACGCTTCCAGCACATCTGGCCTGTCTCACACCAAGGCGGGCCCAAGAGATGCCAAGGAGTAGGTGGGCAGGGGGAGGAGCCCAGGGTGGAATTCCAAGGCCCCTGACCAATGGGAATAGGCCCAGCCTGATAGGCAGGAGCAGGGCCAATCAGCCAGGAAAGGAGGAAGGGGCCGACAGGGACAGGAAGCTATAAGGAGAGTCTGAACGATGGGCCGGGGAGGAAGCGTGGCAGCTGATCTCCAGGCTGTGTGAAGGGAGCAGCTAGCCAGGGAGGAAGAGGAGAAGCAGGGCCAAAACTCCCTTTCCTCCCATCTGAGGCCCTGAGGACTCACACAGTAAGGTCGCCAGCAAGACGGTGCAGGGTGGCAGCCTGCAGGGAGACCCCACCAGGGCATGACCCCAGGGCAAGAGGTGTTCAGAGGAGGTTTGCCATTGCCCACCTCTGTGTCCTGGGCCTGGACGTCCTTGGTAGCCTCCCATCCAAATGCTGACCAGGGCTGACCCTGCTTAGCGACTGAGATCTGATGAGATCTGGCCAGCCTGGGCCATCCAAGTCAGGGTGGGGTGTTAAATAGCGATGTTCCGCTTTAAAAAGCATGCTTGCCATTGACGTAGGATGCCGACGATATCTCGAGGCTGATCTGGATATGTAGGTTGGAAAATTCTCAGCAAGCCTTTGAGTCTTTACCAGGATGTTGTTATATTAAGTTTGAAGGATCCAGGCCTTGGAGAGCTTGTCTTCCTGTCCAAGCAAATCTACCTTTCTGAGGAGGGGCGGGGTGGGGAACCGGCAATTGGGGGGAGGGATTTTCCAGTGAAGGCAGGAGAGGGCTCAGAGGCCTGGATGGAGCAGCTTTTCCTGCAGAGGTACATGGGATTTGTAGTTTTCTTTGTCTTAGTGCAGTCCGTTTGTACCAATCTGATTTGTTAGCTGCCTTGAGCATACTCATGGAAAGCTAGGCTAGAACTCTGACCTGACAGACTAAGGAGGAGGCCTAGACGGTTCCTCCAAGACCTTAGCTGATGCCACCTCTGCCCTCCACCCTTGTTGGCCCCCCAAAACCCAAAACTGACCCCACTGGGCAGATTTTTCTATTTGCACGGGAGCCAAACTTTGGCTTGTAGGTAGAAAGGCGGCAAAGTTCATTTCTAGGAAGCACATTCAGCACCATGGACAGCACACAGCAAAGGGGCAGGAAATATTCTCCCCTTTCTCCCAAATTACCCATTCCCATCCCCACACATATATACAAAGAGTTTGGTTCTTTGTTGTGGAATGGCCTCCTAGGACAATACCCTCCCATGAATCCTGGCCTAAGATTGCAGTCTAATGCACACTTACGCAAGAACATAAGAACATAAGAGAAGCCATGCTGGATCCGGTCAATGGCCCATTCAGGCCAACACTGTGTCACACAGTGGCCAAAACCCAGGTGTCATCAGGGGGTCCACCAACAGGGCCAGAACTACAGAAGCCCTCCCACTGTTGCCCCCCAAGCCCCAAGAATACAGAGCATCACTGCCCCAGACAGAATGTTCCCTCTATAACTTGTGGCTAATAGCCACTGATGGACCTCTACTCCATATGTTCATCCAATCCCCTCTTGAAGCTGTCCATGCTTGTAGTCACCATCACGTCCTGTGGCAGTGAATTCCATCTTTGGGTGAAGAAGTACCTCCTTTGGTCTGTTCTAAGCCTCCTGCTCCTTAATTTTGTTGAGTGCGCATGAGTTCTTGTATTGTGAGAAAGGGAGAAAAGGACTTCTTTCTTGACCTTCTCTATCCCATGCATAATTTTGTAAACCTCTGTCATGTCACCCCTCAATAGTCATCTTTCTAAGCTAAAGACCCCCAACCTCTTTAACCTTTCTTCAAAGGGAATGTTTTCCATTAGTTGTCCTTTTCTGCACCTTTCCCGACGCCATAATATTTGGGAGCAACGTTGTGGAGTTTAAATTCTGAGTAAGCCACCAAAGGATCTGTGGCCTGCCAGGGCTCGTACTGAATGATACATGCACAAGCAACATGCTTATGAGAGAATGCTCATGAAAGCTGATCTCTCAGGCCGTCACCACATGGCTATTGTTTGCTGGCTCATTTCTCCAGCCTGCGGAAGGCCTGGAATTCTATTTTGCCTTTCCCTTGAATCCCACTCAATAAGAAAATGATTTATAATCTGTGCGGGGCAGGGCTAGAGGAGAAAAGGAGAGAGAGGCTCCCAAGGTTTACTGCTCTAATTTATCTGTCAGCGTAAATGAGCCCTAAATTAATTAAGCACAGGGGGTGAGTTCAGCACGGCCACCATCTAATTCACTTACGAGGGCTCTACTCCAGAAGGAGAAACAGGGCTGCCATTTGCAAAGCTTGTTCTTTCTGTGGGTCAAAAGCTCGCCTTTCTGCTATCAAGAACCACACTTCAGTGCTTCCTGGTTCACTGAAGGGCCAGCGCCTTTCCAGAGCTAGGGACAAGGAGGCTGTTTGCGTCTCACCAGATCACCGGGACCTGGTTCTGCAGATCACATGCACAAGACACCTTTGATGCCCCCCCACTCAGACGTCCCCCACAGGTGCGGGGGTGGCTCCATCTCACCACTTGCAGTTTGGTTGCCTGCACAGAGGGTAATGCTGGAAAGTAAGCAAGAAGCTATGGGGGGGGGGGTGAGAAGGAGAAGAAGCAGTCAAAGTGGCCTCCTCTGGGAGCGGGCAGGTGAGTGACCATGTTGGTGTGTAGCCCTGAAAATGACTAACAGTGGCCCCGAGAAGCAGCCCCAAAGAGCCCTGGGAGGTGTCCGGGCCTTTGTTCTCTGCCTGAGGATGCTCCACTCTGGCCTTGGTGATCACTTGGCTTTAAGAAAAGGTCACCGGGAGTCCCAGATTTTGCTGGGACCTGGTTCTGCAGATCACATGCACATGACACCTTTGATGCCCCCCCCCACTCAGGTGTCCCCCACAGGTGCAGGGGTGGCTCCATCTGACCACTTGCAGCCTGGTTGCCTGCACAGTGCTGGAGAGTAAGCAAGAAGCTATGGGGGGGGGAGTGCGAGAAGGAGAAGAAGCAGTCAAAGTGGCCTCCTCTGGGAGCAGGCAGGTGAGTGACCATGTTGGTGTGTAGCCCTGAAAATGACTAACAGTGGCCCCGACGAGCAGCCCCAAAGAGCCCTGGGAGGTGTCCGGGCCTTTGTTCTCTGCCTGAGGATGCTCCACTCTGGCCTTGGTGATCACTTGGCTTTAAGAAAAGGTCACCGGGAGTCCCAGATTTTGCTCAAGGTCAGGTCTGCCTCTTTCTCGACTTCCTGCAACCTCTGATGTGACAGTGTAAACACCAGCTGAGTCTGCAGTGCCTGCACGGGCCCTTACACCAGAATCGCTGGTGGAGAGACTCCTCTCTATCGGTCTTGTCCTCATAAACAGTGAGCTTGTGCTGGTGACGGAGAAAACCAGGGATATTAAATCAGGTCAGCAGAGCGGCTAAGAGAAAAGGGCTGCGGCCCACTTGCCACGTCCGGGACAAACCCACTGGACCTTGGATATGCCACTCTCCCAATTGTAGCCCCCAACATGGGGGATAGTAATACTGGCCTAATTAGTAGGGCTGTTGTAGTGGTTACTGTGATAATACATGTAAAGCACTCTGAACACTGAAAGTGCTGTACCAATATGAATGGTTATTGTTATTACGCAGCCCTTTGATAGTTCCCTGGCCACCCCCACGCCCCAGGCAGTACGAGCAATGGTTTGTTATCTGCTCTCTTCTGGTCACGGACTGTAAATAAAGTAAAGCAGAAGTTATCTGCTCTCCCGCAATGCCCTTCCAATCTGGAAGCTGAAAGAGGTTCCATTGAGGCCGAAGCATTCAGCGGGAAAGAAATCCACCTAGAGAGGCGGTAGTTCACTTCCTGCCCTGACCCGGATGGCCCAGGCTAGTCCAATCGCATCAGATCTCAAAAGCTAAGCAGGGTCAGTCCTGGTTAGTGCTTGGATGGGGGACCACCAGGGAAGACCGGGTTCACAATGCAGAGGTCAGCAGTGGCCAATCACACCTGAACGCCTCTTGCCTTGAAAACCCCTTGAAGGGTCGCCATAAGTCAGCTACGACTCGATGGTGCCAAAAAATATATATATCACTTCCTCTTTTTTTTGGTCAAGAAACTTTTTATTTTTCTTAATACATTCACAAATTCAATACAGTTTTCTTATAATCAGTTTCCCTTCCCCCTCCCTCCCTCCTCTCCAGTGGCTTCACGCAATGCGTTTCCCCTGTGTTCCAAAAATCTTATATATTTTAAGATAACAATCTTATTCTTAATATTGATCTAAACAAAGTAAATTTCGTTTTACATCCCAGTTTTTTTCTAAATAAATCTTGAAGTCAACCCATTCCTCAAAAAATATATATCACTTCCTAACGACAGGCTCTGGGAGAGACGTCTACCTGCGATCTTTCCCTTCTCGCCTCAGAGCCCTGGTTCCAATGGAAATGCCCAAGGCCCAGCTGGAGCTAATGATCACAGGATACGCAACGCTGCAGAACTTGTGACATTGTGAAGTTGCTTCTGAGCATGGGCAGAGTGCTTTCCCCTTATCGCCAAACAGCCAAATTACATGTCTCAAAAGTGACGGACCGAGCTTCGGACTAAGTAAACGCTACAGGCAAGGATAAGTGAGCCCCCAAGTCTTCCCGGACACAAACTGAAGTTCTCAAAACACTCATGCAGATGGACAGGGTCAAATTTCCGTGCCCTCGGACAGTGCACCCCCCCCCAGACAGGACCTGGGAAGACTGGTCCTTAGCACCAAGTTCAAACAAGCAGAGGGGTGTCAACTGAGGCCTATGCCATTTCATGGAAGGAAAGAAAGAGAGTCCACTCACCCGAACCATGTAGGAGACTCCGGGGCCCAAAACTCTCTCGTCGGGGTGCAGCCAGCCCTGCACGGGCTTGCTGATGAAGCTGCCTTTCCGGCTCCACTCTTCCCCGGCCAGCTTGGCCCCCTCGGCCTGGGAAGCCTTCCGCCCACCCCTGGCCCCTCCTCTCAGCCTGTTCATCACCTGCAAGCTGCAGGGTGCGGCACAGACTGGCTCACAGGCGCTGAGGACGGCGGCCAGGCCCAAAGAGGATGAGGGCGATGCAGAACTGGTCCCGGTTTCTCCCGGGCTCCCCATTTTGGCCGAGGCCGACAGCTCCTTGCTGGCGCTGGAAGGGCTGCGGCTGAGGAAGCCCGCGGGGCTGGAGAATTTCCATTGGGGCATTTTAGGGATCAACATGCAGAAAGTGGTCACAGCCTCCTGCTCCTCGCCCAGCGGAGGAGGGCAAGGGTGGGCCAGGGAGGTGCCGGGGGGCGACGGGGACGGGGTGGCCGCGGTGACCTTGCTGCTCATGGCTGGCTTCTCGGAGGGCGTCAGCGCGTCGTTCCAAAAACGATCATACTTGGGTTCTGTTAGCATGCCCAGCTGCTGCTTGTCTGGCTAAGTGGTTTTAGAGTGCTCCAGCCGTTCCTGTCTGTGCTGTGCTCTGGTTCGCCTATCGCTGCCACCCCCCACCCCCATACGCAGCCACAACCTCAAGCAAACCCCCCCCCCCCCGGGCGGAAGATCACTTCACATTATGATGTAATGGTGTTATGGCTTTCCCATCGGCCGATTGCTGCAGAACTCGATCTCTCTCCCCAGTGCTGCGACGAATACCCATCTCATTTGCAGAAAAGACGAACCAGGCTGTCTAGTTTTGGCAGCCTCCTCTTGAAGGTTCGGGATCGGGGTGTGGGTGGGGAGGGAGTCAAAATCGGCTCCCGTTTCAAGGAAATGATGTGCAATGAAAGAATGCATGTGAAACATATTCCTCTCAGAAGCGGTGTCTTGGACTTCAGCTGATTGCATTTCTTGTGTTATTGTATTGCCTTTAAGAAAAATAGACTTCCAAGGAAGTTTATCTTATTATCCGTTCGGATTAGTTCTTCATTGTGTCTCCAGAAAATGGCTTTAGGTGGCTTACGACACATTCAAAAGGATAAAAACCCAACCAGCTATTTAAAATAACTAGACGGTGGCATCAAAAAATAGAATCAGACCCAAACCAGCATTTGGCAGAAAAAGCAAACAAAAACCAAAGCATTTACAAAATAAATCAGGAATAAAATCTATAAAACTGTGTTAGCCAAAGAAAAGTACAGGTAAAATACTGTGTGGCAAAACGGCCAGGTTTAAAAATACAGGTTCACGTGAAGCTGCCTTCTACTGAATCAGACCCTTGGTCTATCAAGGTCAGCATTGTCTACTCTGACTGGCAGCAGCTCTCCAGGGTCTCAGGCAGAGAAAGGTCTTTCCCATCACCTGCCGCTTTGTCCTTTTTTCAACTGGAGATGCCGGGGATTGTACCTGGGACCTTCTGCATGCCACGCAGATGCTCTGCCAATGAGCGAAGGCCCCTCCCCTAGCCAAATAAAGTAATTCAACCTGGTGCCTAAAAGCAAACAGAATATGTGCCATGTGACATTCCAGAAAGTATTTCATAGGGTTGCCAATTCAAGCTTGGAACATTCCTGGACACTTGGGGATGGTTCCTGGGGAGGGTGGAATTGGGGGAGGGAGGGAGCTCAGCAAAACTTTCACTCTGAGTTTTAAAAGTTTTTTTTTTCCTCTCTGAGCAGGAAATAGGCAGGGAGAGGGGGGAAGTCGGTTCCATTGCTTTCCAGACTTACCTCAGACCATCTTCATACAAATGCTAATAGGGCTAGACAATGGGATGGTCAAATTCCCCCCTCCACTTCAAGCAGGGAACAGAGATTTGGAGGTGTTAAATACTAGAGAGGCTTCAGTGAGGAAATTCTGGAGAGTCCAGGAAAAGCTTCTCTGACCTGACCTGACATAGTCAGTGGGAGGGGAAAAGAGAGATGATAAAACTCAGGGGAGCAAGGAGGAAGGGCTCTTGGGTGCTGAGTCCATCAGAGCAGACAGAAGTCTTAGCTGAGGTCTGGAGGAGGTGGCCATTAGCCATATATTGGCCTGGTAATGAAAACTCTGTAGAGATCTGTAACTTCCTAAGCTAAGGAGCCTGTCCTCTATTTTAACATCTGATAGGCGTTTGTGTTTACCCATTTCTTTTGAACCCCTTGCTCAATCTGGCGCTGTGCTAAAAGTATGCTTGTGAGCATTTTTTAAAATAAATACTTTATAACTTTTGATGCTGCTTATGGTTCTCTGTACCACACAGACCTCCATCTTGGACACACTATTTTAAAAGGAGCACCTGGGGGAAGCAGGCAGTTGGCAAGTGGTTATTCCTCCAAGAACGCACAAGGCGTAAACAGTCCCTGTGATAACCAGGCGCTGGGATTTTTCTAAAATTTTCTAAAATCCTCAACTTTGGATAATATTGGGGAGAAGTGAATGTGGACCATTTAATTTATTTTGAGGTTCATTAGTATTTCAGTTGACAGTTTTGTTCATATTGGACCTGGATTTTTTATTTTAAATGGAACTTATCAAGTATTTACATGTGCAACAGTTTCAGGTGGGTAGCCACGTTGATGTGAAGCAATAGAATAAAGCTTAAGTCCAGTGGCACCTTTAAGACCAACAGTTTCATTCTGGGTAGAAGCTTTTGTGTGCATGCAAAAGCTTATGCCCAGATTAAACTTTGTTGGTCTTAAAGGCACCATTGGACTCAAACTTTGTTCATGTACAAGACTTGTCATTTATATAGAGAACGCTGCTTTGTTCACCTACTACATGTAAAAAGGAAAAATGCAAACATTTTGCTGGAACAATTCGGCAGAAGGAATTGGCAGGCAAACAGAGACTCACAGGTTCGGTTTGCAGAATGGAGAAGGAAAATAGAAATGGAGAATTTCCCCCCTGTTTGAAATAACAGGGATGAAAAATTGAAACCATCCTTTAGATAACATAAAATCATAGAATCATAGAGTTGGAAGGGACCTCCAGGGTCATCTAGTCCAACGCCCTGAACAATGCAGAAAATCCACAAATACTCCCCCACACACACCCATGTGACCCCTGCTCTGTGCTCAGAAAATGGCAAAAAACCTCCAGGATCACTGGCCAAACTGGCCTGAAGAAAAATTGCTGCCTGACCCCAAAGTGGCGATCAGCATTTCCCTGGGTGTGTAGGAACTAAGCATTGATGCAACCCTTCCCAACCTCCTTCTCATGATCTACCTAAGTTCCCAGAAGCAGCACTGCTGCCAGATGGCCATCTGATGGCCATGGGAGGGACTAAACCCCCAAGCAGAGATATCAGGACACAAGCCAGTGGCAAGTCGCAAGACTAGTGACCACTGATGGACAAGCTTCCCCAGCCTCAGTCTGGAACAGGCTTGCTTTAAATGATGCAATTGAGGCTCAGCTCAGTTCAGACCAAAATTAGCTCATTTTAAGCAGAGGCCCATTCCATTGTACTGATGAAAGCATAGGGTTGCCAGGTCCCTCTAAGCTGCGCTAGGGGGCGCTGGCGCACAACATTTTAGCTAGCTGCTCAGACAATTTAGCTTCCAGCTCAGGATCATTTTTCCCTTCATTGGATGGGGGCACCTCATTCTGGGGTCCATAGACTTGGACCCTCGGTCTAAACTTTTTGAAACTTGGGGGGGGGGGTTGAGGAGAGGCACCAGCAGCTATGCTGCAAATTTGGTGCCACTACCTAAAAAAACATCCCCTTCTAGAGCCCCAGATACCCCCAGATCAATTATCCATTATAGCCTATGAGGCCCATAGGCTATAATGGAGCAGGAAAAATAGATATATATATTTTTGCACACCCCTATTATGACGTCTTTGGACAGCGCTGGCTCTTCGGCTTTGAAACGGAGATGAGCACCGCAACCCTAGAGTAGGATTCGACTGGCTTTCGAGCAAGGGAACCTTTTGTTGTTGTTGTTGTTGTTCAGTCGCACAGTCGAGTCCGACTCTTCGCGACCCCATGGACGAGCTCTCTCCAGGCCTTCCGGTCTTCTGCCGTCCTCTGAAGTTGGCTCAACTTCATGTTCGTTGCATCGATGACACTGTCTAACCATCTCATCCTTTGCCGTCCCCGTCTTCTTTGACCTTCAATCTTTCCAAGCATCAGGGTCTTCTCCAGTGAGTGCTCCCTTCTCATTTGGTGGCCAAAGTATTTGAGCTTCAGTTTCATTATCTGGCCTTCCAGGGAACAGTCAGGGTTGATTTCTTTGAGGATTGACTGATTTGTTCTTCTTGCAGTCCAAGGGACTCTCAAGAGTCTCCTCCAGCACCATAGTTCAAAAGAATCTATTCTTCGGCGCTCGGCCTTCCTTATAGTCCAGCTCTCGCAGCCATACATGACTACTGGGAATACCATTGCTTTGACCATGCGGACTTTACTTTATTATGCTTTTTCTCTACTTTTTATCATGCTGTTTAGGTTCGCCATCGCTTTCCTCCCAAGGAGCAGGCGTCTTTTAATTTCATGGCTGCAGTCACAGTCTGCGGTGATTTGATGACTACTGGTATGTTTTCTAAGGGTCAGTGCAGGGCGACTGTCTGAGGCCAGATCTACCAGTATACTGGAAAGAGGTGGGTAGACCTGTTCTCTAAAGACCAAGCCTACCAACACAGTGGACTGGGGTGGGTGGACCTGTTCTCTGAAGGCCAGGTCTACCCATACAGCGGAAAGGGGTGGGTAGATCTGTTCCCTGGAGGGCTGGTCTGCCCCCATAGAGGACAATGTTTTCTGCCATGAAATTTGACTTGATTCTGTTTTCTCTTATAAGGTTAAAATTATTGTTAAGATATAGTTTAAATATAGTTTAAAAGAATTCATTCTGAGATGTTTACAAGGTTATGGAAATGATTTTCTAAGAAACTAGGGTCCCTGCCACACGGCAGGGAAAACACCGGCCAAAGTGCGGCAAATTAGAGCTGCACCAAAATAGAGACGCCGCGGCGGGATCCCACGGATCCCCTTAGACGCCGCACCGTTGTTCCCCGGCACGATCAGATGCCAGGGAGGAAGCCACAGTCGGGAGGCTGCCGAACTGCGCATGTCTGAGCATGCGCAGTTTGGGCAGGAGCCGGGGATGCGCTGGCGAAAGGACGCACCGGCGATCCTACAGCTGGCTTTGATGCGGCCTTCTCGGATGAACCACCATGGTAGGTGGTTCATTTTTGCAGCGGGGTTTTGGGTGGAAGGGGCGGATCGGGAACGGGCGCAGCACGCTTCCCAGATGTTGCTGTGGATCCCGCCCATTTGCTGCGCCCCCGATCCGTCCCTCTACCGGCCCAAAACCTCTCGTGTGACCGGGGCCCAACTTATGCGATAGTCAAATGTAGACTTGCTCACAACTTTAATGCTAATTGGGGGGTTTCCCCCCCACTCACAAGGTAGATTTTTTGCTCACAGCACTGTGGAGCTTAGAGGGAACATTGCCCACCAGCCACTGGTGGGGGATTTATTTATTTTATTCGTACCCCGC